TCAGTCTAGTCTCTCACTTTCAGACGACTTCTCCCTAGAGTACAGAGTTCTCAATTCACAAGAAAACACTTCCTCTTGAAAATGTCTAATGATTACACTCTCTGCTTCCATCAAGTCTCTAACACAAACAGAATCTACTACTGAACACTTGGAAACAAATTCAGGTGTGAGTTTGAGCAATTTTTGCTTCCATTTCAAACACAGTGCAATAACCCTTTTAACTCTTTCCCAACTCGAGATTCTTTCAAGATATTGCAGATCAAAAGTGTTAGACACAGATTCACTTGACGAGAAAGTTTTCACAGCTTTCACTTCTGGGTCATCAGACGACACAGCAACACTTTCATTTGTAGCATTTGAAAGACACTTGTTCCATAGTCCAGTGAACCATGAGGATTCCATCAGTTTCCAAGGTGGGATTCCTCTCGACGCAATATCAGCCAGGTTTTCTACTCCAGACACATGTCTCCACTGGCTCGGACTGGAATGTTTTCAAATAAACTGTACCCTGTTTGCTACAAACACGTGAAATCTACTGGATTCATTGGCAATATACCCTAATACTACTTTGCTGTCAGTCCAGTATACTTCTTCAATGTTGTCATATCTTAGTTCACGCTGGAAGAACTTTACTCACTTGTACTGATACACATGATGCTGCGAGCCCTAAACGGGGAATAGTCACAGTCTTCATGGGACAAACACGAGATTTACCAGTAACAAATGCACAGTTTACATTATCAGAATCGTCAATCATTCTGAGATGAGATACCTGTCCATACCCTGTGGTACTTGCATCTGAGAAATGGTGCAGTTGCATGGATTCTACCTTGCCTACATTTGATGACTTATAACAACGAGGTGTCTCTACATCTTCCAACAAGAAGAGCTTACTTCGCCACCTTTCCCATCGGGATCGCAATTCATCTGTGAGAGGATTATCCCAGTCTAACTGACACTTACAAGTCTCCTGCATGATTTGTTTTCCAGCCAATAACACTGGCGCAATCATTCCCAGCGGATCATATATCGAGTTCAGAGTAGACAGGACACTCCGTCGCACCAAGGGTTGATCCTTCAAAGTTATCCGAAATCTGAATGTGTCGGACTCTATACACTAGTTGCAACCTAACGCTCGATCGATCGGCAGAGAGTCATGAACTAAATCAATGTTCTAGATCTCCTTTGCCACATCCTTTCTTGGAATGGCAGACAGCACTTCCTTAGAATTAGACACAAATTTATGAAGTCTGAGGCCTCCCTCTTCACACAACTTCTTTGCACTGTCTATCAGATCTAAGGCTTCGCACACAGTTGAAACACGTGAATCCGTCATCAACATAGAAATCATTCTGTCTGAACTTCGCTGCAGCTGCTCCATGCTTGAATTCATAATCTTTTGCAATTTCCTTAAGGGCGTAATTGGTGCAACCAGGCGACGAGGCAGCACCGAAGAGGTGTACACACATTCTATAGTCAATATGGTTCGAGTCAAAACCATCTTCCCACCAGAGAAAACGTAAATAATCTCTGTAGTGTTCTGCTATGACAAACTGATGAAACATGGCTTCAATGTCACATTGAATAGCTATTTGTTCCTTTCGGAACCTGCACAATACACCAATGAGTGTATTAATTAATAGCACGACAGTCATACACCATGCGCAGCTTTTCGGGTTTCTTGGGTCGATAGATTCCATAATGAGGCACATACCACACATTGCTGACATCATATAATGGTGCTTTCTCCGCATATCACTTTTGAATCATAGTGTCCATAAATGAACGGTAATCATGTGCATATTGTTCATCTCTCTGCAAGCGACTTTTCAGTTGCATCACTCGCTGTAGGGCTGATGCTCTATTATCAGGCAATGTGGGTTCACCTTTCTTGAATGGAAGCGGCATTTCGTAATGAGCGTCAGACCTCTGATGTATGCCATTCTCGATCTGTAATACGAAACTACGATCTTCTAACGATGTGGGTGTTTCGTTAGAATGTCTCTCATGGAAGTCCATTTCCATCATGTGCACTACGTCAATTGGAGTAATCACTTCCTTAACTGAAGTTTTCATGGAGAAATGCACACATTCCGAATGGAAAGATGAAGAATGCAAATCTTCTGACACTTCACAGGACAATATTCTGTGACTCACACCGATAATGTCAATGCCAACTTGGTCCTGATTGAGGATTCCTATGATACCCCAGCCTAAGTCTGATTTCTGTCCATACGGTTCACTTTCTGTGGTAGGAGCAGTGACTTCCCTTGGAATAAGAGCACGCGAACAGTTGTATCCAATGAGCAGTCCAATCTCTATATTCTGCAGTTCTAGCAGCTTATCAGCAATTCTTTCCAGATGTGGCCATTGTCTTGCTTTCTCTGGACTTGGAATGTGTACACAGTGTTGGCTGGAATGATCACTCTTGAATATGTTGGTGGAAGGGGAATCTGAAGATTGCTATCATATCCTCTCACAGTTAAGTCACATATTTTCCTACTTTCCACAAGTTCGTCCTTTGCCGACATTGTTGACAACATCAACTTCACTTCAGGACCACGTACATTAAGAGCATCACAGGTCTGGTCTATGATGAAGGTGGTATCTCACTGAGTATCTAGTAATGCATAAACTAGCCTTTCAACTTTTGGGTTATCCTTGTGGGATACCCACACGGAGAGGATCATTGAACACTTATCACCACGTTCACTTGCACATCGATGTGCAAAACTAGATGACTTTGTGAGGTTTTCAGACGACGAAGGTTGTGTGGAATCCTTCTTCAACTTGACACCATGTAACATAGTAGGATCAAACTGCGACACCAACACTCTCTCGATCGATGTCCAAACTTAAGACATGCAAAACATAGATTATGTTGCCTTATAAAGGCTTTCCTCTCTTCTAGAGATTTCGTACTGAAATGCCTGTAGTGATCAAGGTCATGGGCACATTTGCAGTATGTACAAGTCATTCTATTGGTCCCACTCCCTTGTGTGGCAAACGTGGTTCTTCTTTGAGGCATCCTGTCTCCAGTTTCTAGTTTCTTAGATTGTTTCTTGGACAATCTTTGTATCAACACCGGGTCACACATTATGTCTGCCTCTTCGGAAACAAAGTCTACGAATTTCCCGAAAGGAGGAAGGAATCAAAGTTTCTCCCCCAACGATACACTAACCACTCGTGTAATTTGTCTACTATCATCGCATTTTCCTTTTCGTCATTCCAGATTTTGAGACTGTCAATATTGTCCATCGCATTGTGACACTGAAAGAGGTAATCCGATAACTTCCTCAATCCCACACCATCTCTACCCTCTATCTTTGGCCAATATTCTAACTTGTCCCTAAAGGCTTTAGCCACATGATGTGAAGTTCCAAATCTTTTGTCTAACCGTAGTTTAGCTTGCTGAAAGGCATCGTGTGTGTTTATCAAAAGGTATCCTGCTACAGCGTTCCTAGCTTCTCCAGAAAGATACATGTTCAAGAAGTATATTCTCTCACTTTGAGGTATACCACGCCTCTCTATTAAAGATTCAAATGCACATTTCCAGCCTTTATACTGGAGAGGGTCCCCTAAAAACACTCCTGGTTCCGGTGTTGGTAGACGTCCAAGGTTAATAGTTTCCACGAATGACTTGGTCAGATTCGCAAACTCGAGTGACATGTCACTTAATTGTTTCTGAGGTATAAAGTATGTTGCTTAAGCATTCAGTTTAGTTGAAATCCTGTGAATCAACAGGGTGAATGGGTGTTTCTGTTTCTGGCAACAAGGGATTATTTTTCATATAATCTTGAACATAGTCTTCAGCAGTCTGAAGTTTCTCCAGTTTGTGCACTTTACCATCATTCACAATAACTTCCTCTCCATACCTGAGAGTTCTTTCTGCAGCCTTTAAAACAACAATTTAGATCTAGCCTCTGCTGCGTCAAGTTCCTTTTATAATTCAAGTTTACACAATTCACGTTTCTTGCTATTTTCAAGATCAAAGTACTTCATTTTGATTTTGACTTCTGCCAAACTTGCAGCCACTTCAGCACGCTTCGAAGTCATACTACCCCTACTACCACGACTAGCATGACTTCCGCCAGTTCCGCTTCCCGCCTTTTCGGACATAATCGCACGTGGTTTGAATTTCACACGAATTACGATTTTCAATAATGTCACGTCAAAAGTTCATCATATTCATTCAAATGTGACAAATACGTACTGTTCACTTCCAAGGATATCCTCCCTAGCACGAATATCCAATGAATAGATGTTTTGGCCTGTTTTGACTGTAGCAACTTTCAGCTCGCACTTCACTTGACGTGACACTGACCGACTCCGTGAATGTTCTTGCAATAGCTGCATAAAGAACGCAAACTTGAATGTCTTGTTTTCTGTTTACTGATCCATTCCCATTGTTACACTTCTTCGCACGCATAATAAGACAATAACTCATAGGTGCGGACCGTCAAAACAGTCAATTATTCCCTTGGATACAAATCTGACACGCATCGCACCCGTCCATCTTTTCTCTAGAGCACACATCGTCACTACCCGTTCAAGGGAAGCAGCTCCACCCTGCTACCAACGCTAGCCGCTAAATAAAATTGCGATCTCGCTGGCTACTGTTACAATCCATATTAGTTATAATCGGGACTTGATATGATAGTTGACACTTCAAAATATGAAGAAAAATTCAAAAATATGTAACTTCTAATATTTATATTTTCCAGCTAAATATATATTAAACCATTTACCTTTAAGAAAGTTCCTTGTCTTGTGAACAGCGTAGTAAGATTGAGTGTAGACACGACAGGACCGTCCGTCTAGACTCGCTCACAAGAGTGAAATGATATGAGTATGGGGGAAATAACCTCTTATATAAAGACAAAAAACATGCGACTATATCCGGTCATGGCTTGCCAGTTCTGGTTACAAAACGTATACTATGTCTGGGCTTATATCACAAGAGCGAGTCACACAGCGAGATGCTGACCTATATTATAGCTCGGGTCTTTCCCTGGCTAAATATAGATTCGGTATTGCACCACAACATGCAATATTAGACACCTATTGTGGTCACGTGACTCTCATTGACCAATTAAAAGAGGGGCTCCTTCGGCTCCTGTTCCAGAACTGTCCTTTTCCTTTCATCATCTGAGAGAACAAGTTGTAGATGTTTTAACGCATAAATTGTAGCTGGGATTTAAAACGTGAGCGGACATCAGGGAATACTGACCAGGTGAGCATACTTTACGTAATACGATCGTCCATGTTTTCCAATCTCCAATGTCCTGTTGCCTTCTCCACGTTGTTACCGGGTAAATAGATGGCATAGTGAAGGTGGCAAGTAAGACTAAACGAGCTTAGACATGGGAGGGTTCAATGAAGGCAGAATCGCAAAGGGGACCGTGGAAACATATCGCAACACATAAACCTCATAACTGAACACAACCTAAATAAGCTAATCAAAACACCACCCATCCAGTATCTTTGCACCCAAATTAAAAATTACTAAAACACAATAATAATAATAATAATAATAAGAGACAACTTGTCATAGCATAATACCGCAGCAGTAAAATGCCGTAAAAATTAATAATATATTAGCCATGCAAAAAAAATGCTTTCTACGATTTAGAATTAAATAGCAGATTTTGGCAACCAAAAACCAGACATAAGCATCAATAAACATAAAACAAAACTTCTCAATATCACACATATTTAATAACATCTAGATTTATCAATGCATTCATTAAAAAGAGACCCCCTGATGTTGCCATATAACACGCCCTGAAACAAACATTAACCTCATCTTCTACACAATTTTTACAATATAAACAATATCTACTTTGTACAGGGATACCTTCATATCGACCTGTTTCAATTTTAATTGGGGCCCCACCACAAATAAACTTGGCAATAGCCGATCTGTAACCTATTGGCAGGTTCCTAAAACATAGCCTTCTGTTCTATAATCTTGTTTAAATCACTTATAAACTCTTTATTTGTTGAGACCACTTTTCCCCTGTACCTTATATAACTTAGAATTTCCAATTTATAACACAGTCATTCACACACATTTTGTACATAGTCACACAAACAAGATTTAAGAATTATATTTGGAACATTGAACAAATAACCTAAGCTAATATCATGAAACTGCTTTCGTACCCTTCTGTTCCAACTGTCACATCCATTTATAGCAAACCTTTCAGCCCAATTCTAAACATACTTATTAACACGACTTGGCCTATTTTAAATTCGGCATCATTGTCTTGACACACTTTTCTGTATTCTGACAATAGGCGGTATCCAACCCAAATCTCCATTGATTGTAACATTAGAGGCATATTTACCAAGTCCTAAATAATATCTAATGTTGTCATGTAAATTGGAATAAGTCTGGGAATGCATACCGCCTAGAGCCTTAATTTGGAAATAAGCAGTCCCGGGGCTCTGTTTGCCGATTTTGCTGCTGTATGTGCCATTGCATGGAAATCTAAGTGGTCTGTAAGCAGTGCACTTTGGTAGTTATTACTATTAACAACGTTCAAAACAATATATACTGTCAACATTAAAAACATACTTCGATTTCTAAAATGGACAATCTTTGATTTTTCGTTATTAATCTCTAATATATTTGAATGACATCATGTATTAAGAGCATCTAACGTATAACAGTATATCAAGCTCCTCTTCACTTTCTGCTAACAGAGCCAAGTCATCTGCGTATGCTAGGGCAGCAATGGTCAACTCATCTGCCTTCACATCTACATTAAGACTAATAAGAGTATTTAACAAATCACTAATAAAATAAAAGTTGAACAACAAAGGCGATAACAAACATCCCTGTTTCAAACCTCGGCTCACCTCGAACCAGGAAGTAAACGAGCCATTCACTCACGCACTATAAACTCCCTTGTATAAAGATTACATAGAGCTGTTAAAATTTTACCGCCAATACAATGTTCAGAAACCTTGTCCCATAGGATACCTCTATCAATGCAATCATATGCTTTTTAAAAATCTATGAATGAGACAAATGTTGATTACTTTTTTTTCTGTTTTCAATAATATATCTGAAAGTTTGAACGTGGTCGGTAGTAGAACGATTCGGTCTGGAACCATTTTGTACATCGTGCAGAATGCCTTAAGTTTCAGTCCATACTTAGAGTCGTCTATTTTACTCACTGCAATACAATTTATAGATGGAACTTGTCAATGATTTCAAACAAGCTTATCTTGTCACTGAAAAGCACATGCTCATTACCGTTTTCTATGACTCGTTCTTCGTTTAATTTACCATTCAATAAAGTACAAAAGTCTGTCTTCCATCTTTGTAGAACTATGTCATTATCTGTACACACAGAACCATTTGTCAACAATTGGCATTGGTACAGACTTACGCCTCTCAGAGCCTACACCCACCCATCCTATTTGTCTCCAGAATTCAATGTCATGACTTGTGCAAAATTCACCTAGACTCGTCAACCTCTCCTTTACATAAGCACGTTTAACCATTAACAATACCAAGTTACAGTAAAAAATAAAAAATATACTCAAATAGTCCGCGCTCGAGAGAGCGTGCGACCTGTTTTGATGAATACAGGGTGTGTGTTGAAAGTACATCGTACCACAATAGAGACGGGCTGTGTCGACATGATATACGTAGGAATGCATGAAAAATGTACGTCTAGCTGGATCAAATTCATCTTGTACGGTCTACAAGTTGTACGCCATGAAAGTGAGACAACCTGTTTGTTTAGAAAAAATAGATAAGATTAGACAATCAGCAAGCTGGCAGTGTAGTTTACATTTAGCGCGCAAGAACGAGGTAGTCATGTCACCCTGCATTGACTATAATGCTGAATGTTGCCGAACTTCAAATCAACCGCGCTTGGCAGAGCGTGCGGCATACTTTCTCTAGCTTTCTATTAAAACATCAATGAAAGGTGCTACTTGAAACTATTCGTAAAGAATTATTCAGCCCTGTCCCGGCTGGGATAGTTAAACCCGATGTTAAACCCTTTACATGTAACGTGATGAAAAGTTTAACTTTAATCGTGTCAACTAAAATATGTATACAGTTTTACTTCAGAGCGGGATATTTTAAAAATAGATGGTTTGAAACATAACTATATCAATTAGAAAACTGATTAGTGCAACACCATGAAGGTAGGTTTGTTTGGAAGGAGACAGAAGCAATCTATGTTATTGGCGAGCAACGTGTTTCATGTTTACAATAGTCTCCTCATCCTCTCAGGGGCGGTGGGGTAGCCTAATGGTTAAAGCGTTGGCTCGTCACGCCGAAGACCCGGGTTCGATTCCCCACATGGGTACAATGTGTGAAGCCCATTTTCTGGTGTCCCCCGCCGTGATGTTGCTGGAATATTGCTAAAAGCGGCATAAAACGAAACTCAGTCAGTCAGTCAGTCTTCCTCTCAACCCAGCAGGCCACCCCCAAGTCTCCTTAGAAATAAGCAAGTCAAGATCAGTTTGTGAATAAACCATTCCTCTGAAGGCTTCTTTTCAAGTATCCACGGTTATACAGTAATATCAACCTGCAGTGAATCGGGCAAAATTTCCGTTTGAAAAGAGCGGAAGCTGACTTGAAACGTCAACAGTATAAAAGAAAGCTTGAACCCTGGTAAACTGGACACTTGTATTGGATCATGATGGGAGTGACTACCTGTCTGGTCTGTGGGAAGAGGTCTACACAAAAGATAATCTACAGAGACATTGGAAGCAGATGCACGCTCCAAACGTACCTCCTCCTCTGGATAATGATGCCCCTCCTGTAGGTAGCAACCCTCCTCAAGAGAGACACCTACCTCTTCCTCAAGAGAGACACCTACCTCTTCCTCAAGAGAGACACCCCCTCCTCAAGAGAGACACCTACAAGCTCCTCAAGAGAAACATTCTCTTCCTCAAGAGAAACACCTACCTCAAGAGAGACACCCTCCTCAAGAGAGAGACACCTACCTTCTCCTCAAGAGACACACCCTCCTCCTCAAGAGAAACACCCTCCTCGCCAAGAGGACCAGCAGCAAGAACGGTTCAGGTTCCTGATTCCCTCCAATGTTCTTGTGGTCGGACCCAGTGGCTGTGGAAAGTCTGTGTTTACCTCGCACATGCTCCGACATGGCCTGATCCAACCTACACGCATTGTTTGGTGTTATACTCAATGGCAGCCCTTATTTCAGGACATCACCGAGCAGCTGCCTCAGGTGACCTTTGTAAAAGGAATTCCTTACGATATCTTGGACGAGGATTACATTGATTCTGGCCAACGGAACGTGTTGGTCCTGGATGATTTCCTAGCCGAAGCAAAGCACGACACGCGTATTTCGAAGCTGTTTACTCAAACCTCCCATCACAAGAATGTATTGATCTTTCTCTTGGTACAAAATCTGTTTCCGAGAGGTAAAGAATCGAGAGACATTGCTTTGAACGCACATTATGTCAGCCTGTTTCATTCCCCCATAGATAAACAGCAAATCAAACTCTTCACTCGTAGAATTTTCCCCGAACGTATGGATCACTTTATGGCCATGTATGAAAAGGCTGCTGAAACACCCTATGGGCAACTCACCATTGATCTAAAACCTACCACCAAAGATAAGGATCGACTGCAGGTCAATCTCATAAACGAGGGAAACGGGCGAGTCACAGCTCAGTCTGAACCTGATCTGCCTAGGGACAAGTTGACTACAACAGAATCTCTAGATAGTCCTCTGACTGAAGAAAAGAGACTGCCCCAACATCAGCTCACTCAAATTGAAACCGATTCAGACACGAGTAGTGAGATATCGTTGACTATGGCCACAGATTGCGGGGTGCTGATAGATAACATGCACGATCTACAGCGATATATCAAACATTGGTGTCCGGCCAATAACCTTCAACCTAAGAGAAAGCGCGCCAGACTCGAGAGTGATGATAATGATAGTGACTATGACGACCTATAGTCCATGGGCTGATATAGGTGACCCTCCCCCCCCAGGGGAATTTTGAAGACTGTATTTTTTTGAAAGCTTATCATATGTACATTCAAATTCCAGGTGTTTGCAGGCTGGGTGCAGGGGATTTTTCCCGCAGTGACCCCCCAAAGGGGGTTTCATTGTTCCTGATAAAGGGCAGTTATAAGAATGTATTTTGTGAAAAAGGAAAAAAAACTGATTTTCCCAAATTTTTACCCCCTGGCCCCCCTCTTTGGGGGTCAGGGCATGAAAAATCCCT